AAAGACGAGAATCACCTCGGGCCGTCCTTCTCGATCGAACGACCCGGGTGGAGCAGGGATTCAGAGTACACAAACGAGTACAATATCACCTTCTCCATATTAATTAATCCTGCTCTAATCCAATGCTCGTTACAGACACTGTGTGTATATTTTGTCCTGTCCACTCATCTGCACTGATCTCGTATGAACGGGACTCCATCTGCAACTGTCAGGAAGTAAATGGTTCAAGGTTCATCGTACACTATGTTTAAACAATTTACCATTCCNAATCATTATACTAACACTATTTCTAATGAGTGCACAGAAAACGTTACAGTTAAGCAGAAGTAGTGGTAGATAAGCAGACAGACATACAAAATGCTGACAGTCTGTACTATCGTTTCACAAATGCAACTGCTTTAAGTCTGGGATGTCGTCATCTACTCGCTCACTCAATACTATAAAGGCAACCTAACACACAGGTGGTGAATGACAAATCCTCAGTGGATTCGTCAGGAGCTGGGTAATCCATGTTATGGGTGGTAGTGGTGCAGTGGTTTAGTCGCTGCCATCGGCGTGCTTTGGACCCTCATGCCCGNGAGCCCCACCACTGTCACCCGAATTTGGCAATAGATGGCTTTGTTGCCGTTCGGTTCAATACCACGCCTAGCCTAGCGTGACCTTATGTGGTTCGCCACTCCAATTTCCGGGGCTTAGGTTACCGGTTTCCATCACCGGACAGTAGGCCTCGTGATCGTGGGGTTCGTCCCATCTACTGTTCATCCTACAAATGTGTAATAAAAATGAAAACTGGAGTCCCCAATTATATTCCGAATGACCTTCCTACGAGAGGTTTTCCGTTATGCATACCTTTGGTTAAGTTCATCGATCGATTCAGCATGATGACAATTAGGCTCAAATATAACAAACGAATTCTAGTATTACGTTTCAGTAGACAGGATTTCAAAATGGTTGAAAAGTTTCAACGATAAATAGATTAGTCGCATTCTAACATCTCCGATTGAATTTCGACCAATTTATCAGTGTTAGTTCCCGCAAATTGATCAGCAATGTAGTTTTTACAGTTTTAGTGATTGAACTTTCCAAGTTAGCTCCTCCGCATCTACTTCCACACGCGAAGCCACTTTTTCAAAAGCTTGCTATCCAGCCAAGCAGGAGGAATGCGTTGATACAGTTGAACAGTGAACTTCGCGTTTGAATTATGGGGAAATGAGCGGGCTCGGCTGGATTAGGATGTATGCATGGATGTCACCTACATTCTTCTACAACGTATATACCCCGTCTACCAAACATTGGATCTGGACTTTTCACAATCAACTTTTTCCGTAAGATTCCTAGTAAGAAAACGGTACATTGCAGCTTCATTTGTGGGCAATCAGTTCGTTGATTCATTGTTGCTATCCATCACCAATCATACGTTTTGTTCATATTGATTTACAGATTACTGTGATTGAGTCACCTTCCGGGGAAAATATGATCGCATTGAATCCGCAGTGGCTCGGCACGGAGATTGTCGGCCGTATGTTCAAAATCGAGGCGTTACATAACGTCCGAATTACCGGAAGTTACACAATCGACGATTTGCAATTGTTTGTGCGTGTGGTGAACACGGTCAATCTGGTCGCATTGTTGGAGGCCCTGGGTGTGCTTGTCTGTTGCGTCGTTCAAGAAGAGTCGGTCACCGGTCAACCAAAGAAACGACGTTCACGCAGAAACCATAACTCCACTGAGTCCGACTTCTTCGATCAGGCTAGTCAGCGTAGCTCGAGTGCGCCACAAACCCCGCCTACTAAGCGCAATGTGTCTGTCCATTTGACCATGGATTTGGTGCGCATGTCTGATCAGGTTTCTCGAGATGATATCCAACTGGAACTTCCGCGATACACCTTAATTCCGATGCATTTGCCTGGTTGGGAACACGAATCAGATCCAAATACCACACGTTACCTCGGATTTCAGTTGACCACGGAGAGGGGACAAATGGTGCACCTGATACCCCGGATACAAGTTCATTTACGCTACATTGTAGCAGACCTATTCAACAAAGGTCGATGGAATCGGTCGGGCGAAGAATGCAAGCCATCATTCACTCGCTGGGAAATGCATCAGGTAATGAACGGTTTGCGGATCACAATTTTTGAAGGAGCCGTCGAGGTGACCGTCGCATTGAATGAGCTTGGTCAGGTGAGAATATTAATTAGTTTATTATTACCACCTTTACTCTATCACAAGTTAATTCCATCGAATTCATTGAAGCTACGACCACACAATAAAAAGATGCGACATTTTTATTGCTATTATTATTATTAATATTATTATCATTATTATTATCGTTCATCGGTTTTGTAAAATGTCAAGCAACCGAAATTTAAGTTTTTGCCTACTTACAAGTATATCAGTAAGCTAACAATGAATCACCTCATATGTTGTCCAAAAATAGTCCGAATACACTTATACTAGTAGACGGTAGTCACACTGATTAAGACTGGTAGATTAAGATTGATTGTTTGTTTTCTATCGATTATTACCAGTACTGGATGGGGACCAAATTACATTTACTCGAATGAGGGGAATTCGGACTTGTGAAGTAATGAACTACTATCATGCTCATTATTTCGAATGAAGAAACTTGAATGTTCTGCGAGTTTAAGACGAGGTTTATTATTATTAATATTATTATTATTATCAGTAGTGTTATAATACATTACCTACAGTACCGCTGGGACTCAATTCTTTAAAACAGACGTGTCGATTCACAATATTTTCAATTCTTTATACGTTTAGTGGATTTAACACAATAGCAGTGCAGCAAACTATTTTCGAAATCCAACGGAGTTTTTCTTATACCATAGGTGCGCTCACTAACGCAAGATATTGCAGTTATTGCCTTTATCACTAATCAGTCCACTTGAGAATAGTCTCTGTTGCATGATTTTGTTCGGCATTCTCCATGTAAATATTTCTGCAATCAGGAAAAAGTCTTACCTTTGCGCTAAACTTTTTAACAAGACAGTGGCCTCGTTTGGTTCTGTCTATCGATGCACACATTATCCTATCACAAACAAACTATCTTGGAAAGTGAGGGATCTCAAGGAATAAAACAAACACACATAAGCATGGGAAAAACAATCATAAACAAACTTTTGCGTTTTTATGGTCTGTACTGAAAAATGCCCGATCTCCTTTAATGGAGCCATACGCTAAGGATGTTGACCGTGCAGGTAGGGAGCTACTCGATGTTAGGGCCCAGAAATGGAGGACACAAAGGTAGTTCACCTTGATGATGCATCTATAAAAGAATGAATTGTCTCTCCTGTGCCCTTTGTTGCCAATCACATACATGATTAGTTTTGTTCTTACACCACAGAGTGATCCGGAAATGCAAATTCGGAACTGTGACATGGTGATTCGATGTGCCAGTATTAAAATGATGGACTGTGACCAGTTATTCCGGGAATTTCACAACTCAAACAGGACGAGCGTGATTGCGGAAATCACGTTATCAATTCACTCACCTGAAAACTTCTTAACAGTCTTGGCGGAAAATAGGGTTCCCGTAGATTACTGTCGTTGTTCACTGTTATTGGTGTAAAATGTTTTCCTTTTCGGTCCGGTCGACATGATACTGGGTTTGGCAGCAGTTCTAAAGCGTAAAATGTACCAGTGTAATTGGAGCGTTTGGATCGTCTTTTTCAGGCCCATTGATTCGAACTCAGGAATTAAGACTGTAAAACTCATCATCATCATTTCTGGTTGATCAAGTAAACGAAACTTGCTGCATTACAAGACATTTCGGTAAGATTTCGGTAGTATGGGCCTCAATGTGACCCAGTATTTCCCTCAGGGCACTACCCGACTTCGTCTTCCTACTTGGTGGCAATAGATAGTGCTCGCAAAATTATCGAGGGCAACTGACAGGCAAAAGGCATCGCAGACCGATGTGCAACAAATTCACGCGAGTTGCTGTTCTAAAAGCGAGGGGTGTTTCTCATTCATCATCCTTTTTCCGCATATGAGGAGCGCGATATTCAGCATACAAGCCTGTGGCTAAAGTTACATGAGTTTGTGGGAAAATGTCCTCAAAGAAACACTTTCTAGCATCTACTAAATAAAGTGAATTCTAATACTACATTCAATTGAACAATACAGAAAACATTCAGTACATCATATTATTTTAATAGGTAAACTTTAAGAACTTGTTGCGTTTATTTCATCCCAAATTCAGGCCATTCATTTGCTTGCTCGATCAGCTTTGAAACACGTGAGAAAAACATTCAGTTTGGTGCATCAACTGGTCACGGAAATTTGCGACCATATTCATTCCATTTGCCCAAGCCTCTTGATCCGAGGTGGACCCCTGTATGCATCCGATTTGGAGGGACACCTCGAACTGCCTACCGCGTGGGACTCGGAACCCTTGATTTCTACATTTTGGCACTTGTATCAGAAAGTGAAGACCCCGTCACAAGCCCAAACCGCCCAATTACCGGAAACGGTAGATCAAGAAAAACAGCTGATCCAGGATTTGTTTTTCGGTGACGAAAGACTTATGCAAGATGCAATGAGCTGTTACCAATTACCGCTCAGTTCGCTTCGTTTCCCAGTCGTGCACATGCTGGCTCGCGAAATAGATTGTCACTCTCATGGGGAGAATAAATTGATTGAATTCATCACAGCCTTGGGCGTGTCAGATGATCCCGAAGAGTTTTTGACCGTGTTCAGACGTGGACATTTCTCACCTCATGCGCCTAGTTTTTTCGAGAGTTTAATCCATGCGGAACAGATCCAGTCAACTGCCAACATGGAAACGCTGACCAACGCTCTGCGGGTATTTCAACGTTTTGATTTGATCGAATGCACATATCATTCTCATCTATTACTCAGGTTGTTCACACGACGGAATACCGAAAAGTGAATTGATAATATTGATTACCTCAACTGACCCATCGTTTTCCATATGCATACACACATGCATACACAGAGACCTCCCCCCCCCCTGGAATCTGTTTTACTCTTTCCAACAATAACGACTGAAAACATTTCTGATCTCTGCCAGACCCCTCCCCACCTCCGGCCCTCAACTAATCCTATTCTCTGTGATGTATACACCACCGCTGTTTGTGTTTATCTGTGAAAATTACTTCATTTTTATTATCTTTATTTCCAAGCAAATTGTAAAAGACTATGGCAAAGGAAATAAAAAGTAATTGATATATGTAATCACCCCTTCTGAGAATAACACATCAGCCAGACGAGCAATGCTGAGGTCAGGTTCAACGCTTTAGGCAACCGCGGTCGTCCACTGGAGCAAGTGGTCGACCTCCATTGATTACGTGGGTTGGGGCATGTGTTACGCATGTCACCAAATAGGTTGTCATGGTGAGTGATGTTTGCCGAGGCAGGTAGTGGATGGAATAAAGCCAAGGGCGGTCAAGTTAAGACCTGACATGAGGGTATGAAAACCCTATCCAGGAGTCTGGGTCACATAGGTCCCGTTAGGCTCCCTGGATGGAGATCTCGGGATGATCGTAACCGATGGTTAGACACACTGACTGATATAGCTAAGTGTCGTAAACAGTGGCGTTCGTACATCTCAATTTCTCTGCATCATTAGTCCAATAAACTTCCTAATTTTCTCTTCGATTCTGCTTTCAACCTTCCTGTTTTCCTCTTATTCACCCAAATGGGCAGCCAAAAGACAGAAAACAAAAGTGTCGCACGGAAGTGCATGCGTAATGGTTATTTAAACTGAGCTGCATATATCAATATCCAGAGAAAAGATACCATCACTCGAGATTTGGTACCTACCACGGTTCCTCTATTCCAGACAGCGAGTGACTGGTTTATCTGATCCAATCGCCAATTTACTTGATTCATACCAGTTGCTCCCACATCTCCTCTTCTTCACCGCCTACACAGCTACACACGCCGGAATTACTCTGGATAGGAAGATGGACATAAGAGCTTATATGCTTACTGTGAGAATAATCTAGCTTGTGTTCTTTCAGCGAATGGCCCGTCCTATGTCCGTGAATATGTGCTACATCGTCCATCATACGCTGTCGTAGAAAGATCTGCATCAATCCACCGATAATTCTTCATTCTAGAATACAAGTATACGCGATAGGAATATTTTTCATGATTGTCAAAGTGCACTGTTTAGCTATCTGGTTCCGTTCGGGAGTCATCGCCCCTACGTACCTCTTGTGTCCCTGTCGGCACTCAAACTGCAGACCTTCTGATTGGGAGCTGCACTATCGACGGTCATCACCGTGTGAGAACGGTTCAATCAATTAGGAGAGTCATGTTTAAATTAGCCCACTCGATTTTTCACAAATTTTTCTATGGTATGCACATGTGTTTCATGGGTGAGAAATTAAAGATCGCCCAAGGATTGAAACCCACACCGAGGACTTTCTTCAATAGTGCCTAGTGCCTGTAAACAATATGATGAACTAATCCAACTAGAAGCCAAAAATTTGCACGATTCTAGCTGATCATCTCAGGACCTCAAATTGCAATGGGATTCTCCAAACAGCTGAATTCATGTTCCCCCAACACCAATCCACAAGCAACTATATTTCTATGCTATTCCAAAAAAGTTAATGTATTTTATCGAACTTCAACGTAAATGACAGTCACAAACCGGTACGAAGGTTTGACAAGCTGGAACAATGTCTCGTTTTTTTTAATTTAATATCTTAGCGCACAGCTGTTTAGATAAGTTAGTGTTATGCTGACCAATAACCAGTATAAACCATTTATAATTACTAAATATTCTGGTTTCTCAAACGATTCAACCAACAGAAATTGATCATGACAATTAGTTATAGTTTACTAATACTAGCATACAAAAGAAACGCAATATGAAATGGGGTACTAGGAGCCTCATAGAATAGTTTCTAGACACAGACGATGAATCAGTCAGTTTGAAGCAATTCATTTGGTAAAAATACTGACAACTAATGTTCTTTTGGCATACATTTTTAGGGAAGTGTATTGGTCTATGAAAGGAGGAAAGATCAGTAGCTTAGGCTACAAACGTAAGTCTCTTGTATCTGCTGAAACAACACAACTTCAACATTTGCCTCAGCCCCGAGGACAGTCCGGTAGATTGTGGTTGATCCCGGGGACAACACGTTGAAGAAGACAGTTTGCATGCGTAAATCGGGGGTCATGCGCTTTTGTTGGTTGAGTGAGGGAGAAATCGAAAGTCAAGAACTGGAAGAATGTTTGCTGTACAGAAGCGCAGACAAAGTCCATTCGTAGACTGATATCCCACTGAGGCTTCTAATACTTCTGCACCTCAAACACGAATTGAAAAGGTTGACTCATTTTTGGTTCACTTCCGTTCTCCGATCCCACAACAACAGCCCGTAAAATGTCTGAGACCAACGAATTAAATTGGCTCATCGATTTTTTATACTTCCGTCATACCCTCTAGCAGTCAGAAGCTGCACAGTGTTTCAGAGCTTCGTCCAAAGGAACAGTTAGCTTTG